GCCGAATAAAAACGTTTTGTTATTTATTTTTATATCATACAATAAAACACTCATTAACTCTCAATTATTGTTTTTTAAGTTAATAAGTGGAAGTACTTCTATGATTTACAATACGTTTAGGGAAATATGAACTGAGCAATTTACAAAAAAACTGAATCGTAATAAAAAATCTTTAGGCTTTCTTAGACTTACACTACATCTTATCCATAACAATGAGCTAAATTTACATGTGTAACTGTTTACCCACGTCTAAGACATATATGTATGTAAATAAATCATATTAAATATCTTAAACAATTATATATGTAAGTATATAAATTTATTTTGATTATATTTGTCAATGTAATATAAATCCATATGAAGGTAATGTAAGACATAAATAAAGCAAATGTAAAAGCTCTTTCGATTACAATTATTATTAACGTATCGGTTATTGGATAGTTAAGTAACTCGGGTTACTATCCATGGTTTATTAACCACGCTCCATCATCATAGTCGGAATTTTTAATAGTCGGAATTTTACATTTAAGAGTCTGTAAGTCAGACGAACTTATATTTTTGGACCTCCTTATAAGTCTGTCTAAACTTACGACAATTAATTATAATGTCTATTTGAATCTTAGGATTTATTATTTAGCTCCGTAAAATTTTTAATACAGTAACTATTGCATCAAATTGAATAAAATTTTGACATTTTTATTGCTTAAGGTCTAACTTATAATCTGATGTATGTATTATCTTGATATATTAGAAGTGGTTTATTTGATTGATTTTCCTACTTTTGAAATCCACACATACGAAGTAATGGACCAAAACCTACCTAAGTATTTAACCTACTATTAGGTAGGTAGGTATTAGGAATTGCTGACCACTGTCCACCTACGTAATTTCCTTGATTTTAATCTCATGTTCCATCCTTTTCATTCATCAAATAAAGTGGTAACGAGGAAGTGAGAAAAGTAATGCTTTGATTGCGACCTCATTTTGCAGTCCCGTATATTTAATTTGTGGCGTTCTCGGTTTATGTTTTGGCTCTGATTTTAGTAAAAGAACTTACTCTGTACAAATAATATTTTACGAGTATTCATCATTTCAAGTATCAAATTATTCTACATAATAATGTTCTATCTAATTAAAATGAAGTACCTAATTGTAATAATTAAATTAATATTAAATAGCCATGGACATTAACCCCGCTCGACCGATATGTCCTAAAATATACAAAAGTTGAAGTGGCAATGAAACGGCCATGTAGCTTAAAAAACCAATAACCGAGGATACAAAACGTTTTAACTTCTAAACTACTCAATACAAATCTGTACACCTATGAATACAAATGTTTGTACCTTTTTATTACACAAATCTGCCGAGTGTAAGATGAGGCTACACTGAGGTCGTAAAAAAATCTCAGATAATCAAAGCTTGGGGCATATATTAATTAAAAAGGCCATTTTTTAAATTAATTAACATATAACAATAACTATAAACTCCCACAATAAGATATTCAGAACAAATAGCACTCTGAATTGCCAGTTGCCATATAAACTTGCACTCAAACCGCTCATTTGCACAACTTAATTACTTTCACACACATAATTAACAATAACAATCGTTATAATTAATAATACCGTCATACAGTTAGTTATATTGTTAGGTTATTGACTTCAGTATAGTGGTCCGTTTTAATATTTTATAATGTTAAGGTAAAGTAATATATTATTTATATCTCTTCTTTACATAGTACATACAGTACAAAGTCGTTATCCCTATCTGTTCTCCGCTGTTCGTTCTAACCACGTAACGGATTTTGATACGGGTTCTTTTCATTAAAACTAACATTTTGATTTGTTAATACAAAGTCATGCAAAGTACACTATATTTATTTTTTAATTGAATGAACTTCTCTACTATACAGTCTTTTTTTAATGGATGATAATGGAATAGTAACCCCGCCTGCGCTAACGGTATACGCTGGTGGGGTACCAGTGAAGGATGATAGGTGAGAATGAAAAAGGAAGACCTGTTAGCTTATCGTGATGAATACACTTGGAATTCAGCACGATGGTTTCCAGGGGGGACCATGGGGAAGTCGACCTGATTGGGTATAATGCTAGCAATAGGGTCCTTAGTTTCTATTACTAAAAATCCCCTCCTCGCCCCTACTATGTAATCCATGTATTACATAAAAATCACTAACATTTATTGTAACGAAACCAGAATCATACTAAAAATACGTGAAGTAGACCATAATTACAGAATTACAGTATAACTCTTGATAATAAATACTATCAATAATTTAATAAAACTTATGGTGACGGTAATACGCTCGGCTTACATTGAATATTTTTACTCTTAATCAATTATCTATTTAAAGAAAAATGCCTCTTAGTCGTGCCTCCTAAAATTATAGTGGTAAATCACGAAGTAATGTGATTTTCATGAACTTCAATCCAGATTCAAGATAATGTCTTATCGACTTTAGATTTAAATTTAGAATTACGGTTAAATAAACGTTTAGTTACTATTTCTTAATGTAATAAAAATTAGAAAAGTAAATATTTTCGTTTATTTGAGTACAAAAACAGATGGAGACATATTACAAAAGAGCTTCGTCTACAATTTTTATTGCCGTCATGAAAACCACGAGTCGTGGCCCACGACCAAGAATATATGACTGAAGAGGGACCGAAAAGTAAACCAATTATGTTTAGTTAGTTATGACAGTTCATTTATGATTACTAATTGTCTAATATTCATACAAAAATTACATGAACAGACCATGTAGTTGCGTTGACTAGTGGTTTACGGTTTTACGGTAAAGTACAGTAAATGTAGGCATCAGTTAGTTCCGCCACATGCCGACTGGACGCCGTCGCGCGCCCCTCGGACCGTTTGCTTCCAACAGTCACGCTTCACAGCCCATAACTACTACTGTTTGTTTCCCTTTTTTACTGGACATGACATAATTGGAATGAATGCATTACAAATGTTATAACACTAACTTGCTGTAAATGATCTGCTGTGTTGGATTAAAGGTTTAATGAACTCAATTAAAAAACTTAAAAAATTACTTCGTTAGTGAGATTTTTCCAAAAGACCGCAGCACAGTAAAGCACAGCACTGGCAGGGTCGGCTGTTTACATATCTCGATAGTAGAAAGAATAATATCATTATCTTATCAGCCTTTAACTGACTACTGCTGAACATAAGCCTCCCCCTGTGGCAAATAGCAAAACCCTGGGGGCTTTTGCCAGTAGTTTGCCACGCTTGGCAGGCGGCTTGGCAACCGCAGTTAGGCTTTAAAGATGTTTTAAAAGCCCATCCTTCGCCCTTCCTTAATAGCCTCTTACGACACCAACGAGAAAGGAAGGGGGTGGCCTGTTCTATGCCGGGACCACACTGCACAGCCGGGACCACACAGCATAATTTTACCAAGTGACAGGGTCTACTTTGTTTTGACCAGTCTCGCCAGGTACCGAATCCAGTTTTTCTTATCAGGATAAAACTTTTTCTATCACTCAAACTGGAGTAAACAATACACATTTACAAATTTCATTAAAATTGTTTAATCAGTTTAGGAAAGTACCATTAAATATTACTACCTAATAATAAAAAAAACAGTTAAATGTAACTAGTTATATAATAAAATTGTTAACGGTTTCAGCATCTATATGAATGAAGGATAAATGTACAATGTATTACTATCTACTCTATCTTATGAAAACAGATGTGATAGCTTTTAATGATTTATATATATATATATGAAACTCACTTTATTTCCACTTTCCACGTTATGATTCTACCACCAAAATTTGTATATTGGTTTCTTCTAAACAACGTATAAAAATTCAAAATGAATTCGCTACATATTACTATATAATTATCATATTTGCATGGTCAAATAAATATTGTAAACCCTTTAATGACACAAAAGTAACAGAATATTGCGTATCTTTTATAAGTTTAACAATGTAACGGTACAAAAGATCATTGTCGATTCTATTCAAAGTCATCTTGATGAAATCAATTACACGAAAGATATGTGAATAATGTGTGCTCCATTCACTAACAGAAACGGAACGCATAAAAATGTAAAAGTATCCAATAAGTACTCAGCAACGTATTGAATTAATTGATGCAGTGATAAACTCATTATAATCATTTATTATAATGATCAGCAAATCGCTTAATCTAATAATTAATATTCTATCGTCAAAAGTACAAGGTATCTTTTTAACGTTTTCAATTCAATAACCAGTTTTAACTTATCTTACAAACACAAGGAGGCTCATGCTTGTAATTTACTTATTTGTTAACAGTGCAAATAGTGCGCAATGTAACATGCGTGTAACCCAATTGGCCGCATAAAGCAGCTGATGCGTCCTGACAGTTATTGCTTCGCAAATTGCAAATTTGTAAACACGACTAAATAACAATAACTCAACACAAAGAGACCCGGATCTAGAGGCACTACCTGCGGCTTCCGAATCCGCGCAAAAAAAGCAAAATTGATTCAATAGGTCCTCACAAAAAACTTATATTGTGTCCCCTGTATTTAGCGATGCCGATTGTAATCAACAAATAAGGTTATATCGTTTGGAAAAAAGATGGATTATTGGTTTGAAAGCGAACGTTGTTGGCTATCAATTGAAAGCAAAATCCATATGTGTTTGAATAGTGTGTAACAATGTTAGATTTGGTTCAAATATTGGGCCAATACCTTTTTGATTGACTATCGACCTGATTATCTACTAGTTCTTGGAATGTGGGTCAGTGTTAGGTAAGTAGTTGAATTGACGACAGGATGAAGGTAATGAAAGACGTCGGGCGACTTAACTATTAAAATGATTCGTCCTACGCACTCAATAGAATAGACTTTGTGTGATACCTAGAAACTAGACTTAACACTATAGATAAAATGTATAATATATTATTCATCTATATCTACATAATATTTTCCCCAACTATCATGGGATTCATATTTTTAATAGGTAATGAACCTACAGGTAATATAATATGGTGAAATTTATCTCGTAAAAATTAATTGTCGGCATACGAATAACTAAGTTATAATGTAATAATTTGACACTTGTTATTCCAGGATAAATGAAATAAATCTTACAAACATCTTTATAAATTTTCACATTGATAATAATTACATAACATAATAAAATGGGTGTTTCAAACACAGCCTAAAAACTTAGTTATTTAACATTGTTAGAGGTTGTTATTTGGCAACAAGATTGAAGAAGTTTATTACAATGTTTACACCAAATTATAGTCACACACTGTAATAAAGATTTTATTCTACTCCATATAAAGCACAAAATTGTACATTCATGAGCATCACGTGTGTGTCATATCCTGTATAAGAAAAAGGTACGTTGATTTCGATGCAAGTCTTGTAGACATGAACATACATAAAATTAAGCAAAAAGTAACAGCTTGCTTGACTGACGTGCACTGTGCGGCTGGACAGCATATCAACGCGTGCGACAATGAGGAAATGCTTCGGATGTCGGCGGTTGACACGCGAGCAACTTGCAACTGAAACAGACTGTAGAGCAGTCATTACATAATTATTACAGTTTCCTTGTATTCAAATACATACAATATCTATACAGTATATACAACAATATCTGTAGACTTTACACAATGGCCACCCCTTTCTTTCCCATGGGTGTCGTAAGAAGCGACTAACGGAACTTAATGATTAAGGGATGGGCAGCAGCGTCCCTCTTAAAACATCTCCAGGCCCTAACTACAGTTGTCAATCCACCTGCCAAGAATGGCAACTACTGTCATATTCAACAGTGGACAATAAACTACTAGTATGATGTGGTACACAATAGCATCTATACAGAGAAATATTGATAACATTAATCTATCAATACTTCCGATCACACTCCTCTTATTATCAGCTGATGAATGTAAACACTGAATTAAGAATTACTGAATATCAATCAATATTGAAATCCAAAATCTTTTAAATATTTTTATAAACATATAAAATAAATATTAAATAAAACATGGCTACTCTATTTAAGTGAACTAAGACTTCCGAACTAGCGTGCACTGCACACAGCGTCATAATGTAAGTGCATACCTTTCATTTAGCCATTGCACAGTAAAGTGGTGCATATTCTGGTTGGTAAAAAAGGAATGAAAATAAAAAGAAATTTTTAGAACTTGGACACCATCATAGCGGTACATTTTACTCCTGCTTCGTTATCACATCACTATTATAAATTAGGCATAGTATTAAGAATATACCTACATACATAACTGTTGTACAGATTCAAGAGAGTCTAGCCAAAAACCAAGCTTTTATTTCATTTTTTTTTTTATATTTTTTTATGTAACTTAGAATGGTAAACAAGCTGACGGCCCACCTGATGGAAAATAGTAACCGTCTCTGTCGTCGACATGAGCAGTACCATAGACATAACAGAGATACTATTTCGCCCATGATATTCCCCATACGTTGCCATTTCTAAAGACTCAGATGTTACTCATCTGTTCCTTGGAAATTCATTGCCATATGAACAATATTTTAGAGATTAGCCGTGGCGGTTTAACAAAAACAAATCAGTTATTTTTCATTTATTATAAATTCCATAAAATATTTATAAGTGTTCGCCTCGTATAGTAAATACTAAGGCATTTCCGTGCAAGATTTTATGCTTCACAGATACTTGTTCGCTTTCCTTCAATCAGACAAATCAGAATATATAACAGTATAACATGTAAGAACTGTAACTCTCTACTAGTCAAGACAAATTATAAACAGTTTTAGTAAAAGTTTAGGAAAATGCGTCAGTGAATTTGTATTTTAGTTTTTTTTTTTTTTTGGGTGATAATGGAATGGTAACCCCATCCGCGCTTATTCCCCTCACTGGCGGAGCACCAGTGAGGGGTGATAAGTAAGAGTGAAAAGGCAGGTCAGATAGCCCATCGTCATGAATACACCTGAAATTCAGCATGATGATTTCCAGGGAGGACCACGTTGAGGTCGACCTGATAGGGTATATTGCTAGCAATAGGAATGGTAGTCCGTATTACTAACATTCCTTTTTCCCAAATTATATTTCAGTTTGTAACGATTGTACTAAAACATCAATAGCAATGAAAATCATGATCATAGTGATTAATTTGAAGTCCAAAAATGGATATAAGGTGTATAGCGCCATCGTTAATTTCAACTAATATCCTACAAAACAATAGAGAATCAGGTGTGAAGACATTTACGGTCTTGGCACAGTACACGACAGGCAAATTGCAGGTACTTACAACGTTCTGGCGCCACCGACAACTTGCATATGAAACTGACAGAGCGGACGTCTTTTATTTTTACTTTTATATAATAACTGTATAAATATTATCAGATCAGTATAATAAGATAAGTACATAATTAAGTAATCATAATTTAAGATTGTCTGGTAAATTTCTTATTTATATTAACTAACTTAATTTAAAAAGTAAAATAAATCATACTTATCTAATTCTAACATTTTAGTACAGTTTATTTTAATCTTATGTAAACTATATTTTAATACAAGAAACCAGCATTCAAGAAATAAAGTTAATTTATATATTACATAATAACACCTTTAAATAATTATGTATAAGAAAATAATGTGTGGTTAACAAAATATGGGCATGTCAAGTGTTAACTACGTTCACCATAACAGTAATACGTATTGTCGATAAATGCTATGACTGTAAATGAAAAATGAAAAATAGCTATTTCAACTCTTAGAAAATTAATATGGGAGTAACACAGAAATAAAATAATACTATTAATAAAAGTAAACTACATATATTGATTGCAAGAAAAGATGAAATTTTATAAATATGTTTCGATTATTGTATATTTATTACTCAATCATTTAAAAGGCTGAAATTTGAATGAAATTTGATACAGTCCAATTTGAGGTTATATCCTAAATTAAATCATAGGATATATAAAGTATATATATACATAGTATATGTGGGTAAAAAATGTACAGAAAAAAATAGACAGATCGAAAACTTGCTTTTTTTAAAAATCGCTTCAAAACATATTCCTTGTATCTGTGGCGTATTATTCATATAATAACACGGAGGTCGGGCGCCAATGTGTTTATTGGATAACGAGGCAATCTCGCGGGCTTTTCGAGTCGCGATCAATTGAATGATTGCTGGCAGTCGTCATAGTTACCTCGATACGGCACGGAATACGTAATTGGCAGTATACAAACCAGGGCTACCATCTGATATTATTGTAGGGGTATAATTATTGATAAATATTTTATATAATATAGATAACCACCGACGTCATCCACGTAACCAGGTTATTTCATTTGACTGAGATATAAAGTAACATGTCCTTCACCACTCCAAACATTAGCTGTGTATCAAACATCATGACAATTGATGAGCTATTAGGGCGCCATTAGGTAACAAACGAACTAACACACTTACATATGATAAAACTATACTTAACTCATAATATTAAATTCTTATGTCATTGTTTGTCCTATGTTTTACAAATGAATTTAATTTCCATTACCCCTGAACGAATTTGTTACTACCTACAATTAGTAAGAAATTAAATATGGACAATTTTATCATAACTTACATAGATATAAACATTTAATAAATTAATGAAAAGGTCAACGATAAAGTAAACTCATACTCGTATTTCAGTGTGACAACCCTTTGACATTGAATAAATCAATCAATCATTTATAATGTTAATAACCTGTATAAATCAATAATTTTATTTTATTTTTTCAAGGGAAGCTTAACTAAACAAAAAATATTTAGAAGTCATAAGTTTTCATTGCAAAAATAATGAATATTGTAATAATAATTTTTAGTGGTTTAGTAACAAAATAAAACATAATATTATAAATATATCCAAATAATAAAACTTTATTTATTAGTTATCCATTCACTAGACACTTATGAAAGTTTTTAGAGTCAGAGAGTCCATGTTGTTTATAACATTGTACTGTTCATTTCCCGCTCCAATCGGCATAAAAGAATATTTACGTATAGAAATTTTTTTCGGTTTCATGAATACTTACCAACACTTGTTTTTTGTTTTGGTATATGAATAAAGATTAAATTATTTATTCTTATGGTTTTAGCAGAAAAATAAAAAAAGTTTTAAATAATATACCTATTCAATTCCTGTCTAACCCTATCTATACAAACGATTAAAAATTAATTATATGCAATTACGACAATAGTATTTCTACCATAATATAACACATGGCAGATTATAGATTATTTTTATAAATGGGGGTGTACACACTGTGCACTCGATTGTATCGTGTGCAATATTAAATCCGAAGCACATAAATTATATCTGAACCATTATTAATGTTGGTTATTTATGTAAAATTTAAATTGTAATTTTTTTATGCAACTTAGAATGGCAAACAAACCTGATAAAACGTGGTAACCGTCGTCTTTAGGCTTGAACAATACCATCGACATAACATAGTATACGGTGTCGCCCATGATACTCTTCATGCAAACCATTCCTGTGATCTAAGGTACCTTTGTACCTTGTAATTTCTATAAAAGAAAATTTGCCCACAACTATAATTCCTAATAGAGTAGTCAGAGGCATTTGTCAACGCTTAGATACTATTGTGTTAAACGTACAACTCAATATGCCCAACTGTCAGGACGAGCCGTGGATTAGCGTAGGAGGATCAAAATTTACTGTTTTTTTTTTTAATATCCTTCGAAAAAATTTAAATATCTTGTTATAAAACGCCTTTTTAGAACTCTCTTGAGAAGTCCAATTTATTGCTTAATAAGATACATAGCAACTAGAACCGAGTTTCATAACTTGGTGAGAGTGATACAAAAATAGCAATTAGTATACGCTTTTAACTTTTGATTTTGAGAGTCGATCATGCTGAGTTATAATTAAACGAGACAGCAAATCTTAGAAACAATGAGGAAAGTCACCCGTAGAATTGGTTACGATTCCCATCAAATTACTCGGTAACAAAGTGAGGACCGTTTTCCGCGTTTTTTTTGTGCAGCAAAAACAGCTACGTTCCGGCGCTCTGCCACGGTCTATTCCACGTGAACTCGGCCAATTAATTGCTCAGTGATGTTAATTAATGGATTAGCGTCGCGGTTATTACATGCTTACCAGTATTACCCAAGATGCTGTACAGAAGTATGTACATATTTTTATATTTACTTGCTTAAAGAATTTATTATTTACTAGATCCATTCTGCGACTTTGTCCGCGTGACTCAGTATATAAAGTATCCTTTGTGCTGGGTTTACATCTAATGTATCCGTGTACTAAATTTCATTCAAATCCATTGAGTAGTTTTTGTGTAAAGTAGCACGAACATCAAACCATACATCTATCCATCCACTCACCCATCCTTTCATCCGTACTTACAAACATTAGCGTTTTTAAGTAAAGAAGAATGGATGGATTAATAGGATAATATGGTGCGATAACAATAGTTAAAATGAAGATTAAATATTGTTATGGTAATTTAGAGGATAGATTAAAGAAGAATTACGAAAAAGATTTATGGTGCTTCAATGTGTAAAGATATTAGCAGGATATGTTGAAAAAGGGCCGAGTTAAAAATACTCACAACATAGAGTAGTTTGCTTAAATCGGAGCATTTATCATTCCAATTTTTCTGTCCATGAAATATAGTACTGAAAAGTATTCGAGACAATTTTCTGTCTAAACGGTGAAATAGTATTGAACGGTGATCATCTCGATTTTTTTTCATTAGCACTATAATTTAGGTTACTGACCTACTGTAATCTGCCTGGGAAGCTCTGATCTGACCCATATTAGTTACAGCAAACAATCCCCGCCACTAACCCGACACCGATCTCCAAATAAGACGGTTCTCATAAAAATCAAACACGAAATGTTGACAACCCCGAGCTCCGTGGCCAGAGTTTTCCCATAAACTTAGAAAAACAGTGGTCGTACACATTGGGCATTTATTTGTCGTGAGCGGCAAACTGTCGGCGCAAACATCGGTGGTCAAATCTTTTAAGTAGGCAGCGTGTAAATATTTTTGTTAATAATTTAGTGAGCGTTGATTCCCACGGGCGCAGGGCCAGGGCGGTAATGGAGAACGTATAGATCACACCCTCGGGTGGTAGAGATCGTTTTATTTGTTCGGTGCTAGAATAAAATTGGGTGTGTAGTATCCACTCGATATTTTACAATAAATTAAACTAATTTATATTTATTTCATAATTAAACCAAAATAGATATTTTAAGAAATATGTATGAATAAGTAGAATAGATCACTTATAATTATATATTATATAATATATTAAATAATATCCCCATATTGACCAGGATGTGACAAGGACAAACTTATTTGATAGTATTTAATACTTGACATTTGGGTGCTATTGTAAACTATATTTAAATATCGATTATGAATTTTCCTTCACAAAATAAAACACAAAAAATATTGCTATTTATATTGTTTAGTATAGTGCAATTTATTAAAATTGCTAGTTACCTAGTAGTTGGCAAACTAATAAGAGATTTTATAATTATTTCAACTCCCACATACAGTGTGCCTTTCGACGCTCTTTTTAAAACATTATTTGTATAAAAGTTCATCTATACAAACATCATACTTACTAATATCGTTTGCAATTTTTTCACTCCTTTGTTCTCGTATGTTTAAAATACAAACATACCTAGGTATTGCATCACATGTTAATTATCTTTTGTTTAAGTGTTGTATTGTTAATTTATCCATTGACCGACTTTTTGCTTCACTTAACAAATGTATGTGTGTACCCACTCAATTGCAGTCAAATTATTCGACGGCAAATGTTCTGGTTAACTGTTAATTTTACAACAGTCACTGCTAATTTCATTATTTACTGTCAACTTACTGAACCTCTTTATTCTTATACGACATATCTAGTTAGTTTAGCTATCTTAATGTTAACAATTGCTCCTTATATAGAATCGTAATATATTTAATACTTTTATGTTTCTAAAATAGTATATTTTTATGACCTTATTAACGAAATATTATCAGTGTAAGTAGTTACATATACGTGTAACAGAACGTGTGTATTAAAAGTCGAAATCTAGCAACAGTATTCATGAAACTGAACAACTATACTATCGAGGAACAATTTTAGAACTGTTTTTAAACTAAAAGACATTTGTATTTGTAAAATCCGCAATCACGAGAATATTTTTATAATTCGGCTAGGTATATTCTTTGGGGAAAGTTCTTCAGTGTTATGAAATTTATCACTGGATTTCGATTTATTATATGCTCTGTAACACTTGACAGATAAAATATAATTTCCAATAAGTCGTTAAACGTTTGTGGAATAAGGATAGCAATACATTATGTAAATGATAAATGTTCAGCCGAAACGGTGTGAGGGTGTGAAATAGCCGACGTTCGAAACAGCAGAAGGTAGTGGCGGTGTGAATTGCAAATACCTTTCTTCAGAATTCCCACGGAAAACTAACTTTGTTGTATGCTTTACACGGGCTTACAATTTACAGAAATAAACCCTTTAACACAATCAGAAATAATGTCAAATAAGGAAAGTTTGATAGTCGAATCGGACTAAACATGGAATTGCTTTACACAATTTTGCCGCTACATTGTCACAGCGCTGCATTTATTATTATTGCACAATATTCTGAAATATTAAGACTAATATCAATATCTAATAAAAGATTCCTAAAATTCACATTCAGATTTAATAATAAAGTAATAATAAACATTTGTTTACCCTTATTAAAAAATAAATCAAATATTTAATTTTACACAGATGCCCATATTTCGTTAGTATCATCTTACCCACTATGTTAGAGAACTATTATTTCTTTAGCAATATTTAAAACTTCCTTGAAGAATTCTTAAGTAAGAAGGATCTGTTAAGCAGGTGGCAATCATTTCTTTTCACGATCATTTTTAATCATTTAATTAAAGAACAAAATAGGGCTTTTAATGATTATAAAATTATTCCATACTATTTAAACCTTATCGAGTATTCAAATGGTATGTTCTTTTATTATACATTTGTAATTGGAATCGGCAACCTAAGTAACACACGCTAAATTTCTTATTAAACTTTGCTGTAATGATAACTGTTGCAAGGCTAGCATTGTTTAAACATTTCAAAGTTCAGCAAAGTGCGAAAATTGGAGCACCACAACGAAGGATGAGAACTGTAAACAAAGAAGTTTGCCCACCGGTTGTGCAAGTTTGTACACAAGTGTAAATTCAATTATCCGTCTGCCTTTTTTAGTGTTGCCCACAATTTTGCCATAATAACGACAATTTTCGCGATAAGGATATTTGCTTTGGAAAATCTAATTGGTACCGAATATATGACAAGTGAATGTTGCCCTAGGTAAGTTGCCAGGTCTTCGTTGCCTGGTGCAAACTTCGAAGCCTAAAACTCAGACACCTCAAACGTGAAAGTTTGAAAGCAGCAAATAATAGCTGGCTCTTGTCGCCAGGATTAAATCACTCGAAAGTCCTGATTAAGGGGTCTTTAGAAAATTATTTAAAAAAATATTAACTGTTTTGAGTAAAAATAATATACTCGTATGTATTAATTAGCAAGGACTCTTGCTAGATTATTAACACTACATTCAGTCATAATGGCCTAACAATATAGACAAAATCACAACCCTTGATATTTGTCACTGCAAATAACAAAAAATAGTTATAAGTTACAAAATATATAATAACGAAGGTACATACATACACTACAGTGAACAAATTTAACGATACGATTACTGTAATGACTTCCGTGCGTTCATAAATATGCTCCACCATCTATGGGTGCAGTTCAAAGCCGGTGAATGGGCGACAAAGCGGCGACACACCAAAACAATAACAATGCGGCGTGCGCGTGCGCGGCGTAACAAGTGTAACAAATTGTTTCACACTGGGGTCGATTCTGAGGTACCAATCCCTGAACTTATCTCTAGAATTACAGTTTTAATTAAATAGTTTAATTAAACTATTATGGTAGAGCCCATCGAGAATTAGATGTATAGCTATTTTAGCGTAATTCCACTAAAAATTTATTTTGTGTTAATCTTTAGAATAATCATTTCGCTGTTATATCAAATTGAAAATTTAATTTTAAGAAATAGAGATAGTGCTTCTGAATCGACTCAAGTGTTGATAACTTTCGTTGGACAGGTATCCATATTGGTTTTACAGGAAGGAAAACACAAAATATATTTTTTTCTTATTATTAATTTGTTGTGCATTAAATATCAATCAATTATTAAATTTACACATTAGGTTGAAAATTATAGATACTCATGTAATTTTTTTTTGTTTGATGAGAATGGATTGGTAATCCCGCCTGCGCTAATAGGATACGCTGGCGGAGCACCAGTGAAGGGTGATAGATGAGAATTAAAACAGGTCAGTTAGCCTAACATGATGAATTCATCACGAAGAATTAATCATGATAGTTTCCAGGGGGAACTGCGTGGAGGTCGTGGTTAGATATATTGCTGGCAATGGGATTTTTAGTCTCCACTACTAACAATCCCCTTTCCCCCATGTAATATTATTAGATCCTATAAATAACAAAACTATCACATAATAATTACTTATTTTTCCTTTTCATCTTAAACATCTTTCAATGCTGTATATGCCAATATTATAATGGATGTGAATGTATGAAAAAATTAAGTGAACTAGTTAATGTAAATTACATTTTACAAATTTTATGAATGAAATATTATCTGTGATTATTTATCACAGATAATATTTAGTGTAAGCTCACTAAAGCTCTGGATAATTCAACACTGAGGATTATTTAATGATATGTTCTTTGATTCGATAACATAATAAAACATATTAGGTATCTTATCCGGTGAAAATGTCAATTAACATCTCGGTAGGTGTTCCGTGTACAGTAACTTGTCGATACATGTAAGCATATTCATTGACATAATGCTAGTGACATTCCCTACCCATGAGTCAGACGGCTAGGCAGCAAGCACCGTAGGTCCGGTCCGGAACCACGACAAACCACAATAGAAATTCATTGATGAATGAATCAGTGGCAAAGGAAACTCCGCCGGAAGGCTCACAACGGACACGGGTGACGTATGCAGTGTGCCCGTTGTATGTACGCAGAGCCATGCCGCAATGCACCTGTGTCATAGATTAAAAAATTAAGTAAACGGGGACTCGGTTTGAATTAATAAAAAAAATAGATCTTGTGGTGTTGTTTTTTTTTTCGTGTTTTTATAATTGTATTTCTCAGCGCTCACTCCACAATGCACCTGTGACTTAGATTAAGAAATTAAGTAGACGCGCCTAAGTATAATTATATAATATAATATGATTAAATAAAAATTAGTTCTTTTCCTGTTGTTCTCCTCGTGTTTTAGAATTGTATTACCCTATGTCATTCTGCATATCTGTATCATAAATTTAAAAATTAAATTAACTAAATGGGCATTCGATATACACAGATAATTGTCTTTTTTTGTTACACTTTTTTCTGTAACTTAGAATGGCAAACGAGAAGGTACACCTGATGAAAGGAGGTGTTGATCTTTTAAAGACATTATGAATATTTCACAATGCCTGTATCCAACGGCAAAAACACGAATGGAAATATCAAAGCTATCAATGTAGACAATGACGAGCAAAAAAGCAATATATAAAATATTGCAGCTTTATTTGTGCGATATATTACCAGATCTACTGATCAAAAACTGGAGTATTTTAATAATATTTAGTCAATAATTAATAATCAAGCTGCAGTTTAATAGCACTTTCATAGCATTATCAATTTAGTAAATATTTTACACATATAATACATTTATCGTGACGTACTATTCTATGCCAAAAGTATTACTTTAGTAAATTGAAAAGGCAGGCAATCGCACGGCGACGCTCGTACGTGATGGTACTACAATGTGAACGAATACAACTCATTCAATACTTTCGTACAATGACACTGACTATTTCAAATATTTTTAATAAAAAACTTATTCGCTTAAATTTTTATTGTTTACATTTCACAAGCTCGTAAAGAACAATGATGGTAAACGAAACGTAACGGGTGTCCTTTGCTCAGTTTGGTTTACAATGGATACGGAACGTGAGAATGTTGTTCCAGACTAACTTTATCCTGTAGGTGCTCTCTACGTGCTCAACACAAAGCCGACACACGACAGACAAATTTCACGTTTATTATTGTAGGCGGTCCATTGCAAAGGTGCAATAAACAATGTCAATTGCCCCGTCTAGTCTGTGAACACCTTAAGCTGCCGATCTTGCATACAATCACGTAATAACTTTTGGGTATGAAAATGCAGATATTGTTTTGGTTAGCCGTGGGAAAGTATTTCACAATTGTTGTCTTTAGCGCTCACTTCCTGTGTCCAATAAAGAATAATGAGTTCAGAAATGCGCTGTAACTTATTTAACGATTGTAACTTTTTTCTATATACATTAGTGAACTAAAAAAAAATATGTAAAATGACGTAAATGCTTAAAAAACAGTTAATAACAACTGACCCACACTAGTTTCATTATGACAATATTAATATGGAATTAATACAATAGTATATCTCATTAATTGCAGAAAGTCATAAATTCTGAATTGCCAAAGATATCGTACAAAAAATATAAGCTTCAAGAAAGAGGACTTCTACTTTTCGAAAAAAGGAATTAATTAATTATTAATTTAAATCTTATCGATCAGTTTTTTTTTATAAGTAAATATATTACTGTTTCCTTTGATTATTCTGTATCTTCAGACTTTATATATTTATTTTTTACTATAAAATAATATATTTATTACCCGTGATACCTATCAATGCGGTAGGTAGGAACATGATCGATGGGCCGCGCCGCGACATCCGGCGGACATGGCTTCCGCTGCTATTGTCCTTCCCCACATTATTAACTATATTAACAGCAATGAGCCCTATGCAATGCGTCCCGTTAACAAACATCAATTAAAGTGAAGATTCATCCAAAGCACATACACGTTCTCCGTGTTAAGTATCTTTCTTATAACCTGGAAGTTATTACATTCATTTAAGTTAAATAAACCCGAAACTATGCGGTGACTGCTATTGTAAAAAAAATGACTTAGCAATAAATTCTCTTGTAGTTAGACAACTATATAATTTTGATCATAAGCAAATTTTAATATTATATAAGTACCTACTTATTACTCCATGACTTTATAATTTTTTTTGGGATACAACTATTTTATTCTAATTGCTTCGTTTAATTATGCGTTATCTATTAATCAGTGGCATTTTTAAAGTATTTCAGGTCAGTATAGTTCTTAATATTGCCGGTAGTACTAATAGTTGACGAATCACACTAAGACTTTCTAAATACCTATAGTATATAAGTATTTAGAAAACCTTAAGCTGCACATAAAAATTTTGGACAGGGAAATCTGAACGTATTAACCTTCTAACTGCGTATTTTTTTTTTCATAACAATAAAACACATCGCTTTGACAACAAATAGAAGTACGAGTATTTAGTCATCTAGCGAGATTATGAGAAACAATATCAATGTACCAAAACAAAAATCACGGGATAACAACATCAATAAACATAAAAAATGCGAGCACGTCGAAATCTCGAGATGCGTAAAATTAAACTAGAAGTTTGCACGCGGAAATCGCGGGATGCCCGGTCCTTCTGACCGGGTTAATCAGATTTTGGCATTGACCATATCTTTTACACAACGTCAAATGTAACTAAAACATTGTTGAATTTGAAGAATTGTAATCTAATTCAGTCTACAGTCTAATTATGACCTGGACTCCTCTCGTCTTTTTAGAATTTTCAAAATAATACTGACCACAAAGTACCTTTAGAATTTTTATACGCAATGCTACCTTTCGAACAGTTTAAAATAACAATTAAATAAAAATGTTTTGTTTAATGATTAAAATCATAAAAAGAGGAGTTCGATTAATGCTAATTGGTTCTTAATAGCTGCTTAAATGGCAGTAAAACTGTTTAATCGCCGGAACAAGCGATTAACACAAATGTTTACTGTCCATATTATATTAAATGAGCTTGTTAAGGTTATCTAACCAATGGGCCAAAATGGAACCCTTATAATATTATCAAAAGCTTTTTATGTAAATACAAATTACCGATTAACTCTCTGGTAATGGAAAATACCGTTATATCTCGAGGATACAGTTTTGAATTTAATACATATTCAATCTCAGCGAAATGAGAACATGTCGAATGTTGCATTTATAACGATAATAGTCGACAGATGTCTCTGCCCGCTTTGTTTAAAATCAAACACATGAGCATAATTATTTTTTTAACAGAATGGAAGTTTTTACTCATAAAATTACAAATTTTATTTAGAGCATTTACATAAAAAAAAAAACAAAACCCGGAACAACAACGCTTTCATTACCTCACGGATATTTGGCATTCAGCTGTTATCATGCTGATATGTTGCTTTCCACTCGCGACCCTCGCCTTGGGGGTGGAGGCGGCAGGTGCGCGGACGCACGTGCGCTCCAGCTTTCACGCCGCTTCTCAAATGGATTAACCAAATATAAGATTTTTAAGATAAAAAAAAAATAACTAGGGTAACCGTAAGGGTACGCGCGTAATTAATTTTTTAAGTTGAATAAAAACTATGTCAAAAGCTAACAATAGAATGAACAGAAACAGAGCAACGTTGTTTAGTTTCATATTAGTTTTTTTAAACCTACATAAAAAAAGAGTAAGTTCTTGGGTCGATATTTTTAAATCAGTATGTTTTTATTTTTTTTTTCAGCCCAAATCACTTAATTATTTAAATATAAATTGCTTCATGTTTAAACCCTTCAAATATTATTATTACTTTCTTCGTGAATTCTTAGTTACAGAGTTTCAGATATAGGCCTTCATGAACAAAGACGACGGCCTAAAAACTCTTATCAAAACAGAGGGCGCCACTAATTTCATGTGGCGATAACAACACATTAATTACCTATATCATTAGGAATGAGTAACAAAAAATAAGAGTTAAATGACGAAAACAACTTTTTTGTTTATACGACATGAAATGGCAAACAAACTGACAACTTTTGAATAATCCAAATATGGAACTAAATGACTTTTAATGGATGATAATGAAATGGTTACCCTGCCCGCGCTATCGGTATACGCTGGTGGGGCACCAGTGTTGGATGATAGGTGACGATGAAAGCAGGTCAGTTAGCCCATCATGATGAATTGCACTAAAATTAACCACGATGGTTTCCAGGGGGAACCACATGGAGGTCGACCTGATAGGGTATATTGCTAGCAATGAGGCAGTTAGACCCCATTACTAACACTACTAACTTCTACCATTACTAACTTCCTTTCCCCCCAACTAAATGACTTATGACCCACGCGGCTTATACGCAGACTATTTTTGAACATACTTCGACTTACGTTTTTCCTTAAGGAAAATTCAATTTAATGAATCTTAAAGCTAAGAAGGCAGGGTGGATACTATTTTATTCATTTATTACCTATGGTATCCCCTTGCTGGGCAAGACCTACCCTAACTACATTTACAACGGTCACTGACCAAGATGTGCTAGTTTTTGTATCGGTCGAAATAGTCTCCTCATCACATATCAGTTTACTGCTAACTCTTTTTGAATTTTTGCGAGATACTATAATGTTAGTAAAATTTAAAGTCTCTCGCCCTAGGCTTCCGATTATTAACGCTCTTTGTTACACCTTCTGTAATGACTATTTACTTAACCTGGAATTTTAAAATTTACTCTTCTTACCGTAAATCGAGATGTAAATTCAAAATGTTTGGCATACAACTTATAAGGACATGTTAATGAGTCTGGTCGCCGTTTAGATGAGTTGAACGCCCAAATTGGTTACTGTAATGAACAAAACGAAAATTGGATAAGTTTACGTTTTGTGCGTTTTCTGTTTAATACTTAAATTGTCATAATAATACATTTTTTTTTTATACAACTTAGAATGGCAAACAAGCTGACGGCCTACCTGATGGAAAGTGATAACCGTCGCCTATAGACATGAGCTGTACCATGGACATAATAGAGTATACTGTTTGGCCCATGAAATTTTAAATAATGTCTACCCACTCATTAAAAACCTAATAGGTCAAAATTTTTTCTCAGAAGTAAAACTAAATTATAATTACTTCTGTAATTTATACTATCACCTCTTTTATAACACAGATTAATAGGCAAAATATTATATAGATAATATGTAGTATTTAAGCAAAAACATAAAAACCAGGTAGGTTGCTTGTAAAGAATCAAGACAATTTACATAGAATAAAGATATTATAGTAGCAACCAGCCAAGTAATTGTGCTCACTGATACATAAAATCATTATTACGGTTCCAGGTCATTTTCTACGCACCTGCTTCACAATATGTAACGCTCCGATAACAGTGCTAAAAGGTATAATAATACATATTTTGTACCACCATTACAGCTATGATGAGGCAGATTTTAGTGAATTGTGGGAGTAAAAGCTAGATAGCACTAAGGACTCTTGCTACAATACGTTTACATGACGTACCTTTGTCATATCTATTTCTTGTCTACGTTGTATGATTTAAATAAAAATATGCTCATAAATTTATTCTATTTCTACTCTAGTGCCATTAAATAACGAATATTTATAAGGTACTAGCTTCTCCGCGACTTCGTTCGCATGACCGGGATACGATCGCTGATCAGGAAAAAAATACGCCTATGTCCTTCCCATCTCATATAGTACACCGATAGCTCAGGCGGGATTACCATTCCATTTTTGCCCATCAAAAATATATTTAAAGGACTTAATATGCTCATATTCAAACAAAGATGGATTAATTTACCTAATCGTGTATATTAAGTATGAATCCAACTCCCAGTATCCATATTTCCGAACAGATACGACATTAAAATATTTAATAAAGGAGCATATTCCTTCTTAAAAAGCTGGCAAAACACCTGCTGATCTCTGGTATTGCGAGTGCCTATGGTGGGCGGTAATCATATACCATGGTAAATCACATTATTTTATAATTAAAAATTAAATTTGTTAAACCCTTTTTATAACATTTAATATAAAAGATTTATTCTATTATAATATAAATATATATTTATAATTGATAATAAAATCATTTATGTTTTACCATAACAGTCCTTACTACGTAATAAGTATGAAAATAAGTTTGTTTGTTACCTAAAGCAATCGTCACAAAATTTAGCATACAAGAACTATTTGGAATGGAGAAGTATATAGATAGAGATCTTTATCCAGCCAAAGTTTAGAAAAGTTTTTTTTTTATTTATTTGTTTCTATTATTCAACAAAAACAATGCCAGTACGTACTTACACTCGCATAGACTTACCAGCTATCAATAAACATACAAATCACTATACTCACCTCATAAAAGTCACGGTACTGGATTAACTAGTTCGCTACTAAACAAATGTGGACAATACGCTGCCAAGTCACGGTGGTGGCGAGTCAAGTAGCGTGTTGTCACAATGTCACCGTGTTACTTGACACCAGCTTCTATACGCCTTAAGGCTTGGACCAATAACATCTAGATAGAGTCACTAGATATATTTCAGTCGTGTTACTAGAAACACTTTAATAAAGAAAAATTTCTAGAAAGAATGAACTATTTATTTACAACAATTTTTAATATTTTTCACCGTATTATTATATTCCTATTTTTTCAAAAGTTGACTGGAAGATCTGGCATGTTTGTTATAATCCAATTATCTATTTTAAATGTGAATATAGACCTGATAAAAATACTATATAAAATTAAATCCGTCTTCTATACAAGTTTTTTGTAATATGGTCAATAAATAAATGAATTAAAGTATAAAATTGTATTCATGTTGTAATTAATTGATGACTTTATTTATATTTATTGTATTCGGCCGTGATTTCCTCCGCGTGACTTAATTTAATTATCGACAGGTATAATAAGTAGCCTATGTCCGTCCGTATTCATTCTAAATAATATGTGTTTACCAAATTTCGTGACAATTGGTAGAGCTTTTATACCAACAAAAAGTAATAAATTAATAACTCACACCAACAAACAGACGTACTCGCTTTAATAATATTAAAAAGAACTGATATACCTTTGAATTTTCGCATAGTATAAAAAAATAACGTATCAGCCAACAGTTGGTCGACTGTTTTTGGGGCATTTTTATTCTCAACGCTCTATCTAGACAAATGTGATCTAAGTCTTTAAGAACCTGTCCTGTAACTGTAAATAGAGGAATTTCTTTTCTATTTAAATAAACTTATTATGCTGACTGCTTTAGCTCATGTGTGAGCTCTGTTTAATTTGACAACTATTATACTTGTGAATGTTATAATAATAAAGATAATTATCCACTGATAATATATAATCAAGTCTGTGTTATCCCGGCATAGAATAAGGAAGGAAAGGGGTAGCCACCCCTTTCCTTCCTGTGGGTGTCGTAAAAGGCAACTAAAAGATGTTAATGATACTAAGAGCCTATGGTAAGTGTGGTTGCCAACCCTCCTGCTAAGCGTGGTAACTCCTGTCAAAACTCTAATTATGGTGAAAGCTTATGTTTAACAATAAACTATATATAATCAAATATATGATTAAACTTATTAAGATAATACAAACATTTGAAAACAATTAGTTTACGTAGAATACTGTGTGATATCTTTTTTTTTTAATTAAAATGCTGACTTAATCAAAAACTAATTACATACATACTCGTGGCCATAGTACCTACTAGGTGGTAACTGATAACCTTCACCCATGTATAAATCCTTTCAAGACCATGTTTCATAACATATTTATGTTTTGTTTAAATATTCAGTTACTAATTATATAGTTATCAATCATAGTTTATTATTTCTCATATTATTTATCATGATCACCATATCAGCCATTAACTGTCCACATAGGCCTCTCACGTACCTAATGGGAAATTTTGCCAAGCTTGTCAGGTGGGTTAGCAACCGTAATTAGGCTTTAGTGATGTTTAAAGAGGGACACAGTTTTTTTTTTTAATGTTGATAATGGAATGGTTACCCTGTCCGCGGTATCCGTATACACTGGCGAGGCACCAGTGAGGGATGAATAGTGAGGATGAAAAGGCAGGTAAATCGTGAAGAATTTAACGATAAATTATGGTTTCCAGGGGGAACCGCGTGGAGGTTGACCTGATTTTGAAATAGGTTGGAAACTAACCTCCCCATTACTAACAATCCCTTCCCCCGAAAGAGAACACAGTTGCCCATCCTTCGACCATTTAGTGTCCTTAGTCGACTTTTATGACATCCACAGGAAAGCAAGGGATGACCCTTTCTATGCAGGGGGGAAAGGATTGTTAGCAATGGAGTTTGACAGCCCCATTGCTAGCAATATGCCTTATTAGGTCGACCTCCACGTGGTTCTCCCTGGAAACCATCGTGAACAATTCTTGTTGAATTCGTCACGATGAGCTAACTGACCTGCTTCATCCTCACTTATCATCCTTCACTGGTGCCCCGCTGGTGTATACCGATAGCGCGAGTGGGGCTACCATTCCATTATCACCTATTAAAAAAAGACCCTTTCTATGCCGGGATTACACGACATCTTATTTATATACTTTTTCTCCTTCTCTTTTTCTTAGGTATATAAGTCCACCTGTGTACGAGTACTATGTCATTTTCTTTAAAACCACATCTGTTATTCTGACTCTTGTACCAAAAAAAGTACTTTAATTTTATCCTACGGACAGGAATGCAATATATCTGAATCACTAAAAGAAACAAGCAAGAGAAAAGAAGCTTAAAACAGGCACGTCGCAGAATATTGTCTAATTAGTGCATCGAAAAAGTCAACAAAGCATACAACGACGACAAACATGCATATAAATAATAGTAGTGAAATACAGGCTACACTTAAAATAAACAAAAAAGCCTTATATTTGTATTTCCGAGCATTTGCCGATGTCAATCATGTCCACCCCAAGTACAGTTAAGTAAAACAGCACAATCGGGCGGAAACGGAAGGCGTTTTGCGATCTCGCGGCAAAATTCGGCAGCTGCGCAAGAGCAATCCAGCTGCCACCAGACATCTAATAGGTCACTTCCGTTTTGAATATGACGATAAGATGTATATGGACAAAATAATATTATTTTAAATTAATACCTAATTAGATTTTTTTCTACTTACGATTACTGTTAGAAGTAAGTCTGACAATAATTAAGTTATAATGAATATTTTAGATGTCCATAATTTATTTATTTATTCTTTAATAAGCATATTACAAAAAAAAGTTTAAACAAAAGGTATGATTTTACTCGTATCACGAAAGTTTCTTATGTAATAAAATTTTCGAAGCTAACAATTTTACATATTTAAATGTAAAAATTTGTATATAATATAAAAATTGGCGCGAAACATAAAAATAAAACTAGATATCTAAACATATGTAATTATTTGTATTTATTAATAACATTTTATTCCTAAAAAAAATCAAAGACAGCACAATTAAAAATGATTAAAGATTTGAGATTATCCGTCGCTAAAATATATTTAGTAATAACTTATGAATGTATGTTTGAATATATTTTATTTTTAGTAATAGTGAGGAGGGACGTTATTAATTTATCACCTGGATTGTAAAAAACATCTCCCAAGATAGCTGATGGCCGAGGGTCTGTGCGTTCAAATATATTCAATTGCATACGCAAGAATTGTTAGAAAGAGTAAAACATATGAAATAAAATATGTCAAAGAGAGATAAGTATAATACTTTACGATTTACGCTAGGGTTATTTTTACCCATTCTGCCAGAAGAACATCTAAAAACAAACATGTATGACATAAAAATAAAAGTGAGTAATTAAAAAACTCCATCTGCGTTCCAGTAATGTCTTGATTGTTTTCAGCTCAGACGGAAGCGATTTGTACAGATGTTTTGTTTTTTTGCTTCTGAAATAGATTTAGAAATCCCACTTGAGGTTGACTTTATAATCTGGATGTCAGTGTTGACAAATAGCTCATGTAAGCATCTAGTATACGTATTCAAATGTATGTGGGGTTATTAATTCCTCGTGTCGTCGGTCTGGCAAAGGAAATTTAATAAAGCTGGACAATTTATTGACTTCTCGAGTTCACAGGAAGTGCTACTAATGTGCGGTTAGAAGTTAATTGTGGACTTGATTATTACAACTTTGGACATAAAAGCTGTCCAATTCTGTCTCATGATTAAACGAATATGTGCTGGTCTTTGCTGAGGCTTGACGAATTTTGTTTGGTTATAACAAGAAAATAATAAAAAAATTAAAAATACTAATAGACAACATTAATATTAAATGTAACTTCTGCTTTTTTTTTTGACAATTTATCTAAAATTATTTATTGCCAGAAAATAAAAATGAGTTTGATTATTTATTACCTCTTAGTGCCTTATCCGCTTAACAGATCACTATGAAAATTGGCATGATTATATTATAGAGGATGAAGAATATGTTTTATTCCACTTAGTAAATATATCCCGATAGCCAAAAAATAGATTAAGATTTGAACATCTATAAGTATCATTGTATCTTATGTCATCAAACCGCGCTTATTTCATTGACTTCTCAAGCACCTCTACATTGCACAACATGACTTGATGTTAACCTTAAAATGTCATAAAAACCAACCGTAATTCGATTACCTCAATAAACAGAGAACGTCTCCATCTGCCGCGAAACCCTCCAGTACTTGAGCAACAAAAAGCCACGCGCCCAAATACATTCTTCCGCCAACCTGTTTCCGGCGCACGAACACTACTAGGTTATCGTAAGCCCTTTAAATTTCGCTATAACTGTCGTATTTTAAAATCAAAGTTTCAATTAAGTTACGAAGTATTCTAAAGAATTTAGAAGAATAAAAAATCTTTAGAATATTTCGTAACTTAATTGAAACTGCTATTCAAAATTCTAAAACTTTTGTTTTAAAACTTTGATACTTTTAATTTTTTTATAAAAAATATATAACAATTTAAAACACAATGTTATGTTAGCAGTACCATGCTCATGTCTATAGGTGACGGTTACCACTTTCCATCAAGTAGGCCGTCAGCTTGTTTGCTATTCTAAGTTGTATAAAAAAAAGCATAAATCAAAATGATAATTTTATGGATAATCATATCATAAAGATCTAAACTGGTATATAACCGGTCCAAAGAAACAAGAAAATCCCCTGATAACTTGACTGATCATCATCAACAATGACCTGAAGAGGAACTAAGGAAATATCTCGACAACCCAGGACAGAAGCGTCTAGCGAAGGATGACAAGGAGAACCGACTCCAAATGAAAAGGGATTAATAAGACTAGGCAGAGAGAAATTTATACTTTGTTCCCACGTCTTTATTAAAACGGTTTTATTATTTATAACTGGCTTCGAAACTGCATCCTCAGGATATTTAAATAATGGTATATAATCGATATAAATATACCGGGACC